GAGGTGTGGACCAGAATGAAAGCCACCATGCACGCAGAGGCTCCGGGCCGAGAAGGCAGGAGTAGATGCCAAGGCCCACTCCAGGAACTCCTGAGTTTTCTGGAAGGGCTGATAGAACCAGGGCAGCAGAAGGAGATCTCTCAGCACAATCCTGGGATGGCCCCAGTATTATTCAGCACGTGCTTACTGAGCCTTTATATTGTATTCAATGAGCACTTGCCCCTGTGCTGCAGGCTGAGGGCCAAGAGACACCATCCCTTCCCTCAACATCAAGGCCAAATGTGTATGGAGCACAGAGAACATGCCAGGCCTCGAACTAAACATTTAACCTGAGTTATCTCATTTGTCTCTTACGACTCTGGGAGGCAGAGACTATTAGTCACATTTTACAGCTGAGGAAATTGAGGCACAGAGAACTTAAGCATCTTACCAAGAGTCACATAGCTAAGTGGTAGAGCTTGTATTTAAACTCAGGGAGTCAGCATGATCTCCTGGATGTGCATTAAAATGACAGCCCAACTTACCACGTGCCAGGCTCTCTCCACAGGCTTGTCACCTATCAGGAGCATGAGCCCTGTCCTCCAGAGCCAGGCCACCTGGAGTCACAGCCAGGCTCTGCCGATTCCTACATGCATGACTTGGGTAAACAGTTAACCTCATTTATAGATGGACAGAAAGATCAAATCTAACTTATAGGATTGTGGAGGATTAAAACTTAACAACATAAAGTCCTTCGAATAGTACCCGAAGTACGGTAATAGCTACAGGCTGTTATTATTATTAATCCTCAAAAACAACACTATAGAGATTGTTACACCCATTTTATGGATGAGGTTCTATGGTAGAAGAGGGCCAGTCTCTTGCCCGAAGACACACATCTGGGATTCTAATCCACAACTCCTTGGGTTTGGCACCAGAATCCAAAGCACCTGCTCTTAACCTTGAGCCTCACTGCTTGGTGGTGGTGATGGTGGGGTAACCCACCTAGCCTCCTCCTCCTCAACAGTTGAGCGATTCCCTCTGCCCTCCCCAGTTAGCCCCAGCCTCTGTGCATCTAGGATGACATAAAATGAGAAAGCAAAGGATTCTTCAAATCTTCTTCCCCCGTAGGAACCTTTAGAAGCCCCCAAAGCTTGTGTGGCGGTGGTGATGGGGGTGAGCCAGTGTGGAAAGGCTGGACAGTCTTCCAAACGCCCTAACTATAAACAGGATCCAGTCAGCCCACACTCTACAGCGCTTCCCCTCAGGAAGGCCCTTCAGGCAGGCCCCCGTCAGCTGCCTCCACAAATACATAAACACATAAATCTGAGGCAGAGCTGGCAAAGCCACAAAAGGGAAGGCAGAGACCAAGAGCAGAAGAAGAGATGAGAGCCCAACTCTCGACCCTGCCAAGGTGGAGCGAGGAGCTGGGATTCCAATAATGGCCACCTGCAGACCCAGCGGCTCTCTGAGGTCCAGGCACCGGACAGGGAGGAAGGAAGGGGCTTTCCAGGCAACTGGATGGTATGTCACAGCAACCTAGGATTCTGTGAGAGGAGCAGAGAGGGGCCCAGGGGGTGGCCCAGGGGGCAAGGGCCATCCTTCCCTGTGCACAGACCCACAGATATCTGGGAGAGACCAGGGGACAGACTGAGTCTCCACAGGGTTCTGGGACTAGACTTCATTCTTGGCAGTGAAGGGGGAGATGTCACACACCCCTCTATGTCGGCCTCCCTCTCCTGCTGGCCAAGAGGCACCCCACATGTGTGAAAGTGCTAGGAAAGAGTGCTGGGTATTCTCCAGCAGTGGCACTCTCGGCTCCAGCCAGGAGGGCAGCTGTGGGGAAGGGAGAGGAAGATACTAACCAACAGGGGGGAAGCAGGGGAGCCAGCTGACAGGGTGTGGAGCCAAGAGCCCCGCATTCTACACAGCCAACACCCCACTGCCCACGTGGTTCTTGTTAGGCTCTTTAGCAGCAAAATAGCAACAAGCAAACAGTACAAGGCCCAGCTAATTAGCACACAGCCCTTCAGTAGGCAAGCCAACTTCAAGTGGGAAAGGCTAATGCCCACTGGCAATTCCTCCTGGAGAGCTGCCAGCTGTGTGCCAGGGTCGGGGCAGGGGATGACCAGGGGGAGAGGAGAGCGAGAGGACCCGGAGAGAAGTCGGGGAGCTGAGGACTCCCAGGGTGGAGCAGGGATTTGGCAGCACGCTGGAGCACCCCGTCTGGGACACAAGGGTCCGCACACACGTTGGTTCTGACAGTCTGCAAACTTCCCCCAACCTTGAGTTTCCAGTGTCAAAACTCCAGTTTGGCAGAGACTAGCCCTGGAAAGTCATGAACAAGTTAGGAAGCCGAGACCCTCCAGGGCTGGAGGGCCAGCGCAAGGCCCATGCCCAGACCCCTCAGGTAGTTGATGAGAAGCCCACCCCCTCCGAAGCCACCCTGCTCCTGCTTCAAGTCAAATCCCAACAACACTTTCTGCCAAGCTCACTAGAACATATCAACCCTCCTCCGCATCTCCACCCCAAATCCCTCCCCAGTCCTCCAGAGTGCCCCAAGGCCCTGATGCTCAAAGCGTGGTCCCTAAACCAGCACCACCAGCACTGCGAGCAGCAGCAGCACCTGAGAGCATGTTAGAAACTCAGACTGCCCAGCCCCTCCCCAGCCCTGCTGAATCAGAATCTGTACTTTATTAAGATTCCAGAGGATTCATGGGAACATCCCAGATTTGAGTTAGGGCGCCCAAGGCAAATCTTCCTATGACTGACCAAACTCTGCTCAGTGGTCTTCAGCCCTGGCTAGGATTGCCGTAGGGTGTTTTAAAAATATACCAGTGCCCTGGCTCTAGCCTCTAACTCCAAAGCTTCTGCGGAGCATAGAGCCACCTGGCTACCCACATCCCTGTCTTCTCTGCCCAAGGGTGTTGCTGATGTTGAGTCTCAGATCCTCCTCCAGTGAGTCTGTGGCCTTAAGCAAGCTACCTGAGGCATAATGACTTCAGCTTTATAATTCTGAAGGAAAAGTGTCTTTCCCCCCACTTTGCCACCAGCCACAGAAGCCCCACTAATCCAGGCTCCCTGAAAAGGAAAGAATTTCCAAGTGAAGATCTGCATTGCTGTTTGTTTTTGAGCTTGGGGTTTTGCCTTCTCTGTCTGGAGACCCTTAGAGAGACCCAAGAGTCTGCCTGAGCTTCACTGTCGGGCTAGGAGAGGATCAGGGCCATGGGGTTTGAAGCAGAACCAAGAGCTTGGGGAGCCAGCATCTCCGTCCCCACAGACACAGATGTATCTCCATTTTGTCCCCTGTCAGCCCCATCTCGGGAGAGATGAGGGCATCCATCAGGGCTGGGAACACCACAGGTTTGGTCATATACCCAGACCATTAGCCATGAAACCCTCACCCTGAAAAGGGCCTGCGACAGGAAGGAGTTTTGTTGAGAATGAATCTTTGTAGCCAGGTTTAGGGCCTGGAAGGAGGTAGCGACAGGGACAGACAGGTGAGGCTCCTGGGCCAGCCATAAAGGCCGAGGGAGCTGATGAGTTGATCAAGAGGAGCCCTGGGGTGTGAGGGAGAAAGAGCCAAGGGGATCCTGAAGCCCCCATATGTTTTCACCTGCAAGGATTCCAAATTCCAGAAGGCCCCAGCCTCAGCTGGTGTTGGGAGGGAGCAAATCTCCACAGAGAAGAGTATGGGGTTCTGAACTCAAAATGCCTGGATCCTTACCAGGTCTAGTGCTTGGAGTCATGTAACCTTGGCCATGTTTCCTAACCAACCCAAGACTCAACCTCCTTAGCTGTAAGTGGGAATGATCACTAAATACCTACTTTACAGGATTATTGAGAGGCTTGAGAACGTCTGTGAAGAGCTTAGCATGGTGTTAGGCACATAGTAAATGCACAGCTGTTAGCTAGTAGTAGTAGCAGTAGTGGTAGTAGCGGTAATGGTAGTAATAGCAGTAATAGTAGTAGTGATAATGGTAGCAGTTCACAGGTGGAGGAAGTGAGGTCAGATAAGATATCTGGCCCTTGGGGTGTAGTGATTAAGAAGAGGGACCCCCTGGAGTCAGGTCACTTGAGTTCAAACCCTGCCATGCCCAGGCCATGTGACCTTGAACAAGTGACCTGCTTGTGCCTCAGCTTCCTTATTTGCCAAATGGATAGTAGTCCTCCCTGTCCCCATAGGCCATGCAAAGCGTAGCTTGCACAGAATGAGTGCTGTGTAGGCAATGGCTCTTGTCGCTGTCACCGCCTCTACACCGTGAGTGGGGGCTTAGGCAGGGAGCCCCTGGCCCTTTCTGCCTGGCTCCTTGCTTTCCATGTAACTAAGATGATTATTCTCTCTTTTCTCTCATCGGGGCCAGCTTCAGCGCGGTCTAAAGGCATGGGATCAGAGCCTCATCTGACGGCCTCATCCTGGCAGGATGCCTCACAGAGGCCAGGACCAGCAGGGCCAGGGGCCAAGGCAGGGTGGATTCCCTTAGCACACGGTGTGAACGGGGGGATGCAGAGGCTCTGGGGCCGGGCACATTCTGCACACTACGGGGGTGTGTGGGCACCTAAGGGGCCCTGTGGACGGGGCAAGTGGGGCACCAACACAGTGGGGCAGCAGGAGGGGAATGCAGGAAGCTTTAAAAAACATAATTGGGGTGGGGGGTGTTATTCTAGAAGTTGTTTCCAGATGGAGGCCTTTTTAAAATCCTCTCCAGGGGCGCCTGCGTGGCTCAGTCGGGTAAGTGTCTGACTTCGGCTCAGGTCATGATCTCACAGCTTGTGGGTTTGAGCCCCGCGTCGGGCTCTGTGCTGACAGCTCAGAGCCTGGAGCCTGTTTCAGATTCTGTCTCCCTCTCTCTCTGCCCCTCCCCTGCTCACGCTCTGTCTTCCTCTCTGTCTCAATAATAAACAAACATTAAAAAAATAAATTAAAAAAAAAGTCCCCTCCCTTCTACCATTATCCCCCCAGACCTGGCCAACCTCAAGGGAGAGAGGGGGAGAAGGGTGGACGGGGCAGAGGCACTCACGTTTGATACAGTGGTTGGTGCTGTTCGCCGTTGTCCATCCCGGGCAGCACTGGCCCCCGCAGACATTCCTCCTGAGGGATCAACAAAACGGGGTCAGCACAAGGAGGCTCAGAGCAGGACCACTCACAGAGCTGCCTGGGGCACACGGCCAGGCCGGCCACACTGTCCCCCTTCTCTGGGGAATCCACAGGGCCCAGGGGTAAGCTCGTTGAGATCTTGCAGATCTAACACGAATTCCTGACTGCCAGCCTCTGAGTGATCTTGGGAAACTCCACTCCCTCCATCAGCATGATGGACATAGTAATACCTGCCTCACTGGGTTGTTGTCATGATTAAAGGAGAGAGAGACAGAGAGAGAGAGAATACCTAACAGAAAGAAGGCACTCCCCTACGACAATGACAGTAATCATGCAGATGATGAAAAAAGCATGTTGAGAGAGGCTCAGTCACTTGCTGAGGCTAAACAATGAGTAAATGCCAAAGCCAAGTGCAAACTTGAGTTGGCCCGCCTCTAAGTCATGCTCCGACCCCACACTGCCTCTCACCAAAATGAAACACCACGGGCCTTTGCCCAACAAAGGCTGACCACATAAGGGAAGCTGGAAAGCACACGTACAACAGTCTTATGGACATACATACGCATTGCCAGCCAACAAATGCACACGGGGAGAAGTCCCGGCCCCTGGGCAGGCTGGTGCATGCGCGGTGGGAGACAGAGGGACCTGGGGTTGTAGAATTTCTATCTAAGAGGGGCTTGAGGTGGTGAGCTGGTGAGAAGATGAAACTGGGGACTTGGGTTAAGCTGCCTCTGCATAGCGAGCACACTCTTTTTATTTGGGCAAGCTTAATGGAACTTAACTCTGTTGGGGACAGTCCTTGGTGCTGGCGCTGAGGGTGCCTGCAGGGGACACTGGTCTGTACAGATCTCTGGGATGCTCACCCAGCTCCTTCAAACTCTGCTATCAGGTGTGTGATGAGGCCCCTGAAGCACCACCAGGTTTCACTAGCCCCACCTCAATGTCTGGAGGGCACTTATTGGGATGAGCACTGGGTGTTGTATGGAAACCAACTTGATAATAAACTATTTAAGAAAAATAAATAAAGACTCAAATGCCTGGACCCGGGTGACTTCTCTAGAAGGTCTCCTCCTGGGGAAGGCTCCTGAGGACCTCAGCCCTGGCTTCATGGACCCCATAACTGACATCAGAAATTGTCTACTGAGCACTCACTGAAACAGGGTGAGTGGGGGAGCAGAGTATGGGCTAGAGAGTCAGGGCGAAGGACACAGAAGGGGACTGTTCCTGGGACCTCTGTGGCCAGGAGAGTGAGCATCTGGTCTCGCTTATGAGTTTATTTGACATTTCAGTGGACCCCAAAGCTTGTGCGGTTTTTGGAGTCTTACAAAACATTCAAAATAAATTCCTGCATCTTGGAAAAGCTGAAGCCCATTTCTAGCCCTTTTGGCCCAAAGTGGTGGGGAGCTGCCTCCCAGGGCGCTCCCAAAATATCCTCCCAGCCAAAGGCTGTGCCATTCTGGCCACCTTGAAGCCTCTCTGGACCGCTGCCTTCAGCAGCTTCCTGGCTCTATGAGAAGCTCCTCCCCGTCGGGGCCCAAGTCACTGTTCTGAGGAAGGGGCTGGTCCTCATTGCCAGGCTTTCTGAGCGTCACACTGGTGGGAGGGGTGCATACATTATCCACCCGTGTGTAAGTCACTAGCCCTGGTGGAAGTGATAAGTCCTCATAGGGGCCTAGAGGGTCTTTGAAAGGAAACAGACTGCATCCCCTAGGAGTTTTCTAAGAATTAAGGTCTGTTAGAGCTCAGACAGCATAGACTGATGGGCCCACTTGGCTAGGAGGTCATGGCATGGAGCCCAGCCCAAGGAGGCCCCCTGAGCCAGCTGTCACCCCCAATGCCCTCAGGCAGCTGAGTCTACTTTACAGCTGAATATAGGAGGCAGCCGCCAGCCCTGCCCTGCCTGCCAGCGGTAGAGCCCTCAGTACTGTTAGGAACACAGTGAGGTCAGGGTCAAAGCCTGACAGGCAGAAGTGGCCAGGCTGGGGCTGGAAGGGTACTCAAGAGGGATTTAGGTACTCAATGGCAGACTCTGAGAACTCCTTCTAGGCCAATATTAGAATCTTGGGTAGAGGCCCATGGAGGTGGCAGATGACCATTCAACAAGCTCTGGCTCACTAGAGAGAGCAAGTAAGCTTGGCTAGCTGGGGCATATACGACTCAGGGGTTCTGACTCCCTGGAAGGTCATGTGAGCCAAACCTTCCAGGTGATACCTCTCAGCAAACATCAACTCAGTATCCAGCACCTTTGTCCAGCCCTTGGGGACACATCTGGCTAACAGCCTGGGACAGCTGCTGGTCCACCTAGGACCAACGTGATCACATTGGTACTTCGTTAATAACCTCACAAGGCTCTCCGGTGGCCTCTTATGAAGCTGACCAGGCCCCCACCTGCCTGTGCAGTCTAACTGCCCCCATCACCCCTCCCTTGTCTCCATCACCTTCCACAGCCAAGGTTACGATCCTCCAAGGCTACAGAATGTGTTGTCCCTCAATTGCACCACACAGGGTCACATTTTGATGCTTAAACTGTTCTCTACCTAGAATGCATTCCCTCTCTTTGCCGATTGAAACCCTTTGCATACTCCAAGACTTCCAGATCAAATGTTACCGTATCCATTGTGTAAACCTCCCCTATTATATACTCAGCCTTTCTCATTCCCCATCCACTGCATTCATTTAGAACGGATTTTCTCAGGGCCTGGGTGGCTCAGTCATTTCAGTGTCCAACTTTGGCTCAGGTCATGGTCTTGCATTTCGTGGGTTCGAGCCCCGCATATGCTCTGTGCCGACAGCTCAGAGCCTGGAGCCTGCTTTGGATTCCGTGTCTCCTTCTCTCTTAGCCCCTCCCCGCTCATGCATGTGCTGTCTCATACACACATGCACTCTCTCTCTCTCTCTCAAAACTAAACACTAAAAAAATTTTTTTTAAAAAGATTTAGAACTGATGTCTCAAGTTATTAGTCATATGTGTCTCCATCTTGACTATCTGGAGAATTCTTTCTTATTCCTTTTTGTGTCTAACACAATGCCTGACACGTGGCATACATTTAATACTTCTTTGTCTCACTTAATCTGCCGTTTCCCAAATAATGGATGAGCCACACCCAGAGTAGGAAAGGGGGTTTTAGGTTTCCACAATCATCGTCTTCAACAATGCCGAGTTGAGAGGTGAGAAAGAGATTCCCTTTTCTGTGATCTTTCTAGCCTGATTAGATCAGTGGGAAAAAAAAAATCTGCCTGAGATTGGGTCTCCACGCCAGGTCCTTCCCCTAACATTTGCCAATCCCCCCTTTCAACAGGAAGCATACCACCGGGGAGAGCTTCCTAAGATAGTGGTGTCTGACTAGAATTTGAGAGCATTTTATTGTCATTTCAATTCTCCTACAATTACCTTCTTTTTATGACAAGTGGTGCTATTTTCAGCTTATTGAGGGTGATCCAAAGTGTCCTTGAAAAATGCATTTATTTATGTAGAAAAGCAATCTACATATTTGCAATCACAAAAAAATGTAAGTCATCTAAAGGTTCAAAAACAGGAGGGTGGATAAACTGGTATATTCAGACAATGGCATGATACACCACAGTTAAAACAAATAAACATAAGCTGACTATATTAACCTGGTTAAACTCAGAAATCTAATGAGGAGGGGCTGAAAATTGAGGAGGATAATACAGTGTGGTATCACTTATCTAAATTTAAAACATGCAAAACAATGCTGTGTATTTTATGGAGTCAGGCATCCGTAGTAATTGTGTAAAAACATACACTGGAATCAGGAATAAATTCAGGGTAGTGTTTAACTCTGGGCAGAGAGAGAGAGAGAGAGACAAATCTATAGAGGAATTTTCAACTGAAAAAAATCAGAAGCAAAATATGCCAAAATCTTAAAGTTTGAAAAATCTGGATTTGTAGGTGTATTATTTCCAGTACCTTTTGTAGGTTTGTACAAGACTTCATATTATAAAATACTTGAAAATATGTAAAATAGAAAATCCTGCTATATTAACAGTAAACAAATTCAAAGAAAAATAATAGAACAAGAGGGAAAAGATCAAGGAAAATATTTTGAAAGTATTTGGCTGTGAGGCTAGTTCAAGAAACACTGCTTATTTTGAGACAATGTCTTTAAAAGTCCCCTGCAGGGGCATCTGGCTCAGTCAGTTAAGCGACCGACTTCAGTTCAGGTCATGATCTCGTGGTTCGTGAGTTTGACCCCCCACCTCCGGGCTCTGTGCTGACAACTTAGAGCTTGGAGCCTGCTTTGGACTCTGTGTCTCCCTCTTTCTCTGCCCCTCCTCTGCTTGTGCTCTGTCTGTCTCTGTCCCTGTCTCTCTCTCTGTCTCTCTCAAATAATTAACATTAAAAAGATTGTTAAAGTCCCCTGTAGACCATAAATTTCCTTAGTGCAGGATCTGTCTGCTATGGTCACTATGTATCCCAGACACCTACTATTGTGCCCAGCCCATGCTTAATAAATCATCCCTGTGTGCAATAAATTCCCACTACATTCCAGTTTCATGAGGACACAGGCTGTGTTGGCCATTGCTGTCATCTCCATGATCTAGCACAGTGCCTGTCATATAGGAGGCTTTTCAAATATTTGTTGAAAGAAGAAAGAATCCTGTGTAGTAGTGATGCAGTTCCAAGTTTCACCAGAAGGTGGCACTTGGTGCTTGGCCCTGAGCAACCCACTAGGCAATTGCCAGAGAGGTCAGGCTGGCCAGAAGCCATTAGCCAGAATGGGTCTGTGCAGAGGAAGCAGATGGATGAGATTGCCACTCAGCCCTCCCCAGCTGATCTGGAGTGGTTGGGTGGACCGTCAGAGGAACCCACCCATCAAAGCTGCAGAAAACTATCTGGGGGAGAAGCCAAACCCCCAGATACACAATTTGAGATACCATGTGTGCACCTGTGTATGACAGGTGATATGGGTGGCACCCAGCCCATGTCCTTACACACCTGTGCACATATACCAGCTCTACTGTGGTGACAATCTGCTTTGCACATCTTCACCTCATTTCACAACTTCTAATAGTGCACCCTTCCACTCCCACCCTGCACTATCCTACCTTCCCCCCCAACTTCCACCTAAATGCCTATGGTATAAGCTTCTCCATGATCTGGCCCAACCTGTGGCTCCAGCCTCACTCATATGGCTCCCTACACCAGGGTGTCCGCCTGCCCCCAGGCCAGGGCCAACAGTGGAAGTCCTTGTCCTTGGGCAGTGCTACACCCCTCCACCCCACTCCTGCCACCTCTTCTCATAACTGCCCCGTTCCTTTATGCTTTAGTATGAGCTTTCCGTTACTAGAAAGCACATTCATTGGTACATATCTGTTCATCTCTCCAACTCCATTTTAAGTAATTGGGTTATTTTCTCTGCAGGAGCAATGCCTTTGTCGCCGGGCCCCCATCTCCTATCCCATGCTCCTGTACACTAGCTCTTAGGAAGCATGTATCCACTTGCACAGGTCAGGTAGGGAAAAAACTGAAACATGCTGGTGCTCCATTAGCTCTTGTTGACTGATCCTGTGTGTAAGCAACTTGGCAGTGCGTGGGTCTACTCTGCCTGCCTCAAGCTGGGCCTTACGTGGGCAGCTGGACTTCATTCACTCATTCAACAGATACTTCACCAGCATCGATTGTATGCAGGCACCGTTCTAGGCACTGGTAATATAGCAATGAACAAAAGCAAAGCCTCTGTTTTCACAGAATTTACATTAGTGTGGGCTGGGATGACCAAACCATAAGTGCAGAAACAGAAACGGGTAAAGCAGGGTGAAGGGAGAGGGTGGGGCAGGAGTAATCAGAGAAGACCTGTCTGAGCAGAGATCTGAATGAAGGGAGGCAGTCCTGCTGAAGTGGGAAGAGTGCAGCAGCCAAGGAAAACCAGGGGTGGGAGGCCATGAGGCACACGGTCCTCCAGGGTGACTGGGACCAAAACCAACTGGGTTTTTTGGGCCCAGGCCATAAAGCCAGAGTCCTTCCCAGCCTCCCCCGTCCGGTCCCCTCCCAGCCCCGCACCGCGCAGGGCTCCCGCGCCCTCTATCCTGGAAGCACCTGTCATTCCCAGACAAGGCCGGGCGCCCCCTCAGCCGTAAGGATCCCCAGCTGGGGTGGGGGTTGCCTGGGAGGCTCCCGACGCTGCGAGGGCGCCCCCAGCGGGCAGCAGGGGTGCCTGGGGAGAGGGGGGAAAAAGCCACTCGCAGGGTGTGGGGGAGATTTAGGCCTGCAGATTGCACGAGTCGCGCTGACACCTAGCTGCACAGACGAGCACACAGACCCATTCTCCCACGTACCCACTGTACCCCAACTAGAGCGGGAACAGGCTTCGGACCCACAGTGCCCTCGAGCCCATGCCCCCTCCCACGTCCAGCCACGTGAGGGCCCGCGCAGACCCGCGTCCCGACTGTATACACTTGTAGCCAAGTTGAGGCTTCGCTGCCAGCTCCGTTCCCTTGGCACTCTGGAGCCCCGACATCCTCTACCTACCTGCGCTCTGAGCCCGCTCTCGGGTCTCGGGCGCCTGGACCGCCCACCCCACTGCCCCTTCGGGGTTCCTTTTCGGTTCACCGCAGCGCTGCGGGAGTCTGCGGGCACCCTTTAGCGGAGGGCAGGCGAATGCACCCGCACCTTGCGAAAGGAGTTAACGTCAGGTCTCCCGCGAGCGGGTACGAAAGGGTGAGGATGGTGTTGCTCGTTGCTCTCAACTCCTCCAAAGAGGTTCAGATCTCCGAGCCTCAGTTTCGGGACCCCGGTGCTGATTCCTTGCAGTCCTGAGGCCGGAAAAACCAAGGGCACGAGCCCGGTCGGGGCCCTCTCCTCTCTCGCCTGCTCAGCCCTCCACTAACGAGCACACGGAGACCCGCCCTCGCTCCCCCTCCCCGACCCCTACGCTTCCCTCGGCCGTGCTCACCCCGTAAGCCGCCCTCGCGGCGGGCTTGGGGGCGCAGCCCCGGGCAGCTGCGGGGTTCCGAGGCGCGGGAGGGCCGGGGCTGCCCGGGCGCGGACTGCGGGCTGCCGCTGGCCCAAGGGACCGCTTCTCCAGGTCTGCGCAGGTGGCTGGGCTCGCCGAGGCTGCTGCGCGCGGGGCGGCCTCCTGGCCAGAGCGTTGGCGGGCCTCCGGGCGCTCCCCCAGCCGAGCTGGGCCCGCTCCGTGGGCGGCAAGCCCGGGACGGGCGCGTCCTGCTCTCGGAACAGACTGTACACCTTGGCTGCAGCCGCTGCGGGGTGACTGCCCCCGGGGCGCCGCAGCCGGTTCGCGTCCCGGCCAGCCAGCTCGTATCTTCCCACCGGGTCCCTCTGAGCGTGACCCATGCCCACGAAGAGAGCCAGGGTGAGGGCCAGGAGGCTCCCGCAGGGGTGCCGCGGGGCGCGCCCGGTGCAGCGGTGGGTGGCCGGGGGCCTCATGGCTCCGGGGGCGACTGGAGAGCGGGGAGCGCGGAGAGCAGCCCCGGGGGCGTGCGGCGCCTGCGCTCCGCTCCGCTGCCGGCGGCCCGCTCCTCCGTCTCTAGGGACTCCGAGCCAGCCTGCCCCCGGCGAGGGCTTCGCGGCGTGAGCGCTGCGGGGCTGGGCGCTCCGAGCCTGGCGTCCGCTCGTCTCCAGCCGGGAGCGCACCGCCGCGGCACTTTTCGCGCCTTCTCCCGGTCTCTGCGGCCTTCTGAAGGGGAGACGGACGCTTTTATTTTTGGAAACTTCCCCCCGTTTTTTCGTCTCTTTTATCTCCATCATGCCCCCTCCTCGGAGGGACAGCTCAGCCCCCTCATTACCGGAGAGGGAGAGAGGAATTCCAGCAACACCCACTTTGGCACCGGGAAGCGAGCGGGCGGCGAGGGGGGTTAACCCGTGAGGAGCTGGGGGCAGCGCAGAGCTGACCCGACGGCTGGCAGGGGAGACGACGCCTGCCGGCATGGGGGGCACCTGGTCACTTTTCTCTCGTCCTGGGCAAGCTTGAACTGCTGACCTGTCCCGAATTTATGTCTTGCCCCCGCCATCGGGGACAAACTCCCGGTTGGATGAGGCTGCGGCCTCGAAGGTCTGAAGGAGGCCAAGAGAGGTATTAAGAACTGCGTAACAGAGACTGGCCCAGAGGGACCGCCGTCCGACCCCTTCGCTTCCCGCCCCGGCCACTGGGGGCGCCCGCTGCGGGGTTGGCTGGAGGGGGGCCGCGCGGGGCAGCGCACGGAGCTCGCCTGCCCCTCCGCGCGGCGGGACGCGTGAGCGCTGGAAGGTCGCCTGGGGGCGCGCGCCCTCTAGTGGAGCTGGCCGCGTCCCCGGCCACCTTGCAGCCGCCGCCGGCCGCCTTCGCTCCTAGATCTTAATCCTTTTCCTGTTGCGTCAGGGTCCAGGCTAGGCCTGAGGCGGAGATGGCGGATCCTGGAAGAGATAACATCTTTTAAACAGAAGTATAGATATAGAGGATCTTGAATAAGGTCGCACAGGAAACAGCGTGTGTCCAAAAAGAGAATGAAATCCTAGCCTCCGGCTTCAAGCTCAGAAGCCCATTCTCTGGACCCCCCCCCCCCCCAGCCCTTCTTTCCCACGGGAATTTCAGGGAAGGGGGCGGGGGGGACTCAAGGAGTCTGTGACTGACCTGGATGTGTGCAGTGAGTTCATTCACACCATGGCCCTCTGCCCCAAAGTCTAAAGGCCTGGCAACCATGCTGTCCCCAGCGCATTTCTACAGCCTACTGTTCCCCAGAGAGGAAGAGCCACAGAGCAGGCAGGAAGGCACCGGTGGATAACTTCCCACGCTACCAAGGATGGGCACGGTTAATACCTAATGTTGGACTACGGCCTCAGCCTCACATGACTGACACCCCCCGCCCCCCCGTCCGTCTCACCTCTTACCTCCTCACTCACCACCTGCAGCTGCGTTGGCCTCCTCTCTGCGCCCTGAACAAGCCAAATTACTGCCTGCTTCCCTCTCCCTGGAACACTCACCTCCAAGATGTTTTACAGCGTTAGCTTTTTGTCACTTCCCCTTCCCACTCAAATATCCCCCACCTCCTGGAGTGGCGGTCTCTGAGCCTCCAATCTAGATCAGCCCTCCCGGGGCTGGTAGCACATCACCCTGCTTTACCTTCACTGCTCTGATGCCTAGCTGAAAGTATCTTTTTTATTTGTGTACCTGTGCACCTGACTTATTGAACGGGCTGAGCTCGAAGAGGGACTATCAGGAAACAGCTACATTTCCCTCCCCTCACTGCCTTCAACCATGTTCCGGCGAATTTCTCGTCTCTGCCTTTAATCTCAAGCAAAGTCCTTGGCTTGCCCATCCCCGCCAGTCACAAGAACAGTCTCATTTCTGTAATTAAGACCCATTTTCAGGCAATAAAAAGTCTGGTCCTTTCTGAATCAAAACCTCATCCAATTTAATCAATCTTGCATCCAATTTAATACTCCTCCCCCATCCCCCATGGGCCTGTCCCCTGGCTAGAGATCCTGTAGTGGGGAGAGCAGGGCATGGTCTGGTTTTCTAACCTTCCTTTTCTGCTGTGGCTCCCTTGTGTCAGAGTTGGGGGAGGGGTGTCAGAGGGAAAGTGGCAGCATCCTGTGTGACAGGTGCCTTTGACTGGGAGGTGCCAAGCGCTTGTTCTTTCATGGGCACATTTGTGGGCTCTTGGGAGGCTCTCTGCAGCACCTTCACCCTGCTGAGCAGAGCACTCTCTGGTGTAGCAGAGCACTCTCTGGTCAGCCTCTTATAGACCCCTATGTTCCCTGCCTCTTGTCGGACTTGCCCGTCAGTGCCGGCCAACCGCTGGTGACTTCGCTGCTCTTGCTTTGTCATAAAAACCACTCCAGCCCAGGCTCCACAGTCAGAATTCTCCAGACAGGAATTGCGCACAAGTCTCTTCATTTATGCCCATCCTCAAGTCCTGAAGAGATGTGTTGGATTCTTTCCAGAATGTCATTCATATGTTTTGGGGACACCAGGGGTGCTTGCAACCTCCAGCAACTCAGCCAGCATCCATGGAAGGAGAATTGTGATGAGTCATGCTAGTCTCCTGTTCTTGGAGGCCCTCAATCTCTATGACTGGTTCTTTAGGGGCTTGGTTTGCACTGAGGAGTGCCCTCAGGGAAATCTCAGCCTTGCCTACTAATACCACCAATACCTTGCCTACCTCAACAACTTTCCTCAATCCCTTTCATGTATAGACTGGAATTGACGGATGTGGTGTAAGTGTTGTTGAACTTGTTCTGCCTTTAGGAAGGTGTCCAGTACTTCTCTTTGGAATGTGAGAATATTTAATCCTTATTGCTCTAGCTTTTGAGGCCTCAGAAGAAACTCAGAGACCACAGAAGAATCCTGTTCAACAGCCTGTAAAATCATGTCTGATTTTCCAAGCCACAATGATAAAGGAATAGATATCTTGTCCACGTGGCTCACCACTCTTTCTCCAGAACCTAGAACAGTGCTTGATCCCGATAGACAGCCAAGAAATATGTGTTCACTGGGTGGCCAAGCAAACGAATGACACAAGGGTCCCATCAAGTAAAAAGGGCTGGTATCAAGGCACCTGAGTGGTTCAGTTGCTTAAGCGTCTGACTCTTGATTTCAGCTCAGGTCATTTTCTCACGGTTTGGGGAATCGAGCCCCATGTTGGGCTCTGCACTGAGAGTGCAGAGCCTGCTTAAGATTCTCTGTCTCCCTCTCTGCCCCTCCCCTGGTCACTCTCTATCTTTCTCTCTCAAAATAAATAAATAAACATTTTTTTTAAAGGGATGATATCATTAGACCCATTTTAAGAGAGAAAAACTCAGTTCCTGGTATTAGTTCCTAGTCTAAGTTCATGTGCTTACTTCCTCCAAGGCTGGTCCTAAGGATCTCCTTGACTCTTGTGCCTTGTGTTTTGAGATGAATGCCATCTGAATTTCCAGAATGCTCAGTTCTCTCCCTGAGACAGCTTTGGGAAAGCCTCAGCTTCACACTTCCCCTGCCTTCCCCCCTTATCCACCCCACTCTTTAACTCTGGGCTCCCTGTTACCTGCCCCTTTCCTTCAGGAGCTCGCTTCATCCCCCAGTGCTCACCTTACAGCCCCATAAGCCTCCCAAGGCCAGAAACCTTGGCGTCATCTTCGTCCCTGAGCTATTTTTTCCTCCCATGTGTCCAAGTCATTATTACTGCTCCGTCTCCTTCGTCTGCACTTCTGGAAGTCTGCCGCCCATTCAGCCTCTCACCGCTGGCCTCAGCCAAAACCCTCACGCAGACACACTTCCCTCACCACTAGGCGCCCCGCCTACTCCTTGGTGAGTACAAGTGGTCCTTGGAAATTCCCACCCTGTTCTCCCAGGAGGGCTACAGCCTGGCTAATCTACTCTGAAGACTCTCCTTCTCCCCCACCCCAGTGCCATCCCCCTCTCCTGGCTCCCATGTACTGCCCATCCCTCCTTTCCCTGTAACTGGATTTGTTGCTGCAGCTCCTCAGAATCTCCAATCCCATAAACACTAGAGTTTTTTGTTTGTTTTTCTTTTTTTGAGCTGCCAAAATTTATGGAGCCTACTATGATCCAAGCACTGTGCTCAGCATGCTACGTAAATTGGCTCAATTAATGAAATAGAGGGGACGTTATGATTTCCACGTATCCAAAGGAGGAAACTGAGGCTGGGAATTGGTAGTGTCTTGCTTGTGCAAGATCACTCAGCTGGTAAGTAGCGGGTGCAGGACTCCACCTGAGCCAAGCTTGGGAGTCGGTATCATGCTGTTTTAACCCCGGGCTTGCACCTGGGCAGGCCACCTCCTAGCTGAAGTGGTACCTTTCCCATGCACCTCTGCTGGCCGCACCACCTATGCTCTTCCACTGTACCTTCCCCCTTTCCCTGCCTGCAAGCCGGCAACTCAATTGCCCCTGTGATGAGTTCCTAGAAACTTCTGTCCCCCTCTACCCTTCTGTCCAGTAAAAGAAGGGGGGCTAACTGTTTCCAGCATGGCCCCTGACTCACTGTGTGTCACTTCCTCACCCCTGATCCCAGCTTCCTCCCTAATGAGGCACAGAATGCTCGCCCACCTCTTGTGTCTGGGGAGGGAAATCTTCCAGGCAAGGCCTGCAGAGAGAGGCAGAAGAGACTGATAAAAGATTCCTGCAGGAAGAGTTTGCCAGGACACACGCACCACAAAAGACTACGGCAGTCTGCTGGACACTGAGGGCAACCTATTTGCTTTCCTGTGTCTTGTTGGAATAATGTTGGCAGCCACATAGCTACCAGAACTTAAACTAATTTGGTAAATTAGGACCAAAAAAACAAGGAATGAATTTCTGTTCCCTTTGCCGAGACCCAGACTTCCAGCAGAATTCCTGGGATTTTTCTTCCTTGGAAGTGACTGGACCTCCAGCCCTGAATTCCTCTCCCCAGGAGAGCTTGTTCCCCCACTCAGAACAAATAACACATTTCCTGGTTAATCAGTGGGCAGAACAGCTGAAGGAAGGTTGATTGGGCCCCCAGCCTTTCAGACTGGAGCAGCCCATGGGCTCAAATGTTCTCGTCCAGACGCTGGGCAGCTGGGACCTCTGCACTGTGCAGCCTCAGCCTCCATTTTGGAAGGTGGGGGCTGGACGAAGAGCTTCCAGCTCCCTCCTTCATGAGGCCTTCAAGGCCCATAGGGGTACTGCCAAGACCATTCCACCTCAGACACCACCCCCTGGCTTCTGCCCAGAGCTCGCCACCGCCCTGACTTGGTCTGCCAGTGCTGTCTTTTCCCGGTGGGCATGAATGCCTTGTCTTCTGTGAACCGAGCTCAGCTCTCAGCTGTGCTTGGCTTCTAGTTCCTCAACTGAAAATGGAGAAAAGATTCTTCTTGCCACCCCAACCTTCAAGACAAATAAGATAAGCAGCCCATCTAACCTGTGATGGGGGATCAATTACCACAACTCCATCTGCCAGCCGATCTTTCTTGAGTGCTTAAAATGCACCCGGTACTGTGCTAAGTGTTTCACAGACATTTGCTCATCGAATCCTCACAGTACT